CCCCAAAGCAAGCCGTTCAGGGTGTGGTGGGGGGGGTGGGATTTGGATTTGGGTGGGGGGTTCGTTTGGGGAAAAATGCAACAGGAAGGGGGGGTGCCATTTGGAAAAGGGGGTTTTTTTGGGAAAATTTGGAAATTGGGGGTAATTGCATGGGCAGTTTGTGAGGGTGCCATGGCCGGTTTTTGCCAGGGAGGAGGTAAAAAGGGGTTGGGGGTTGTGGGGGGAGTTTTTCTTCCCGTGGGGGGTTTTTGGGTGAAAAGGTCCTTTGGGGATTTGTTTTCCTCCCCCCACTGTCCGTCGGAGGGTTGGTTTCTTTCCCATTTGTCCCCCCCCCCCCCCCCCGCTCACTCCGCCTCCCTTCTCTTGCGCCTGCGATGTCTATTCCTATCGATTCCGGTGTGGTGTGGCGCGCGGCTCGTGAACAGGTACGATTATTGGCCCACAAAAGCAGGCCCCGACGCCGACGCCGCTGGCGAAGAGTTTTACACCATGGATGCCTGCTACCCTCCGGTCGACCACTTCGAGGACGACCTAGACTGATCCAAGTCCTACGTAGTCAAGATGTGATCGTGAATCAAGATTGGTTTTGTGACTTGCAATCTCTTGAAACTACGTCAGTTCGGCCTGACATCCTGAGGGATAGAGGAAGGTTGAGTTTGAAAATCGGATTTCCGCTCCGAAATCGGAGTGAAATTTGACGTGACTTCACACGTTGGGTGTTTCCTCGTACCGGGAGGTTAGGCTCTTTCGAGACTTCAGGCATTGCCGTTGTGATTTGCGTTGCTCAGTTCGAGGCGTGAAATGTGGGGTTGAGTTCCGCCCGCTAAATTTTGGTACGGGTTTGAATATACCGATTATGTCGGCTAGAGTTGAGCCATGACGAATTTCACTGACATGCTTGTATCCAACCCTACGCGGTTTCCGGTCCGAAAGGAACGGGCATGTGTCACACACACATTAGGAGCTCTGTACCGGTCCATAGCCTTGAACGCCACTTCGGAACGACTTGCTTATAAAGACAAAACTGAAGCCGACTCTCGGCGAAGATCCGCGAAAGATTAAGGGGGTATCCGTGCACCCCGAAGGCCAGCGCCATTCCGGTATTCAGGGGGAAAGCTGGTGGTGTGTAGGCCTCGAACAACCCTTTCAGGCGAAGGGGGCTGATTGAGCGGAGAACCGCCGTACGTATCCGCGGCTGGTTCACCAAACCCTCGAGTCATGAAATTCCGAGGCGAATCAATCCGCGGGCGAGACGTTGAGCTCGCGATCGTTGCCGGTAAGTGTGGGATCCGTGGTTGTTTTCCGGCACATTTTCTTCTTGGTTAGGAATGCGTACAACGCTGGCGACTGCTCGAAAATGGGTGCAGACTCTCGAAATAACCAAGCTCACCATTTTTTTTTTTGTGTGTGTGTGTGTGCGTGCACACATGCAGCCGAAAAGGATGAAGGAAGGCGTCGAAAGATCGCGTTAAGTGAGACATCAACGAAAGAGACCGGCCAAAGGGAGGTAAACAAACTCGCCGTACAATTGTTGTCCATGCAACCATTTGCACCTCGCACAACAAGCTACTGCTGTACAGGAGGAAGAAGGAACACACCGATGTACACAACCGCGGATGCAGGTGTGCGCACACTCGAATCTCTTCGTCGCCGTTATGTGTGCCGGTCTGTTTTGAACTCTCAGAGAGAAGTAAGCCAAGGCGTTGGAATACGTCGGCATCTAATCAAACGTAGGTTAGGCTTGCCTACAACCGTTCTACGCAGACGGCACCACCAGTTTATTGGTACTAGTCTACATAGGGTGCGTTGGAAACTCACTCAGCCGACACTACCGAACTTTGAAATTAACACAAAGCCGTTGTGGGCACAGCCTTGACCCAGCTAGGACAATGAATTACTCCATTTTGACGCTGTATCCTAGCGTTATTGCTTGTGCATCTATTTCTTACGTCCCCCCAAACCCCCCTTGCCTTGTCGGCGGCTCCTTTGCACCCTGGGTTCGGTACTGCCGCCAGAGCATTTCGAACTCCACTTCGTTGTGTACTGTTCCAAAGGACCTAAAACCATGCCCCGCACTGGAAACACAATATGTATACATACATCGTTTATGGCGGGGCTGTCGAACTCGCCTGCGATGCATGCTCGACGGTGAGATGCAGTATACTCCGATTGCGTACAAAACTTGTTCATGTGTTTCAGTAGCACCGGCTTGCACGCACAAAACACCAGCCGACACATGCTCGCACCAGAACCCCCCACGAGCTTGCGCGCGAAGAAGCAGCTCCATTTTAGAGCAAAACGTCCTTCTTCGTGGTGTGTTGATGTTCTTTATTTAGGACAAGGCTGTTGTCAATATTATTTTCTGCGGATGCCTGGTCTTGGTGGGTGTCCGTGGTACTCCGATTTGATGACGTTGGACCAGCGCCTAGAATGGATATACCGTTGGAGATGATGGCCGGAAGTGCCAATGAACAGCGTAAGGGGGTGTGTGAGTGAACGGGCACGCAACAGTAACAACGTCAAGTGAGGAAAAGTGCCAGAGCACACGTCCAGAAAATGGCAACACAGGTTGAGAAGCGACAGTGGGCACAAAGAGAAAGTACCTGGCAAAGGATAGTCTACCACCTTGCTTGCCGTCTAAACGGAGGTTTAAACGCCACGCTGAATGACGAGACCATTGATCGAAGATACGCGAAACATAGAACCCCCCTTCCCGGAGTAACGAATGGCGAGGAGCCTACCTTTTTTTCGTTGTTCCATGATCCCGGCTAAACCATACCGTCACGCCATATATGTAAGTATTTCCAATGCATACAAAATGCATACGGCATAGTCTCGCCTTCTCGAACGCAGAAGCCACGACCAGGGGTCATACATTCTCGAGCACAAAGTAGTTTTACCTCTGCTGCGCATGCATGCCGTCAGTCGATTGCACGCAACCTCTTCCGGCCGAAGCTTCCCTTCGGTCGGCCAGCCCCTTCATATCTTCATATTCATATGCTGGGCGCTGGAGGTGGTGTGAGGAACTCGGTCGCGGGCTGACAGTCTCGTGGCCTTTTCTCCCGAGGAGGAGGAGGGGGTGCGTCGTTGCTCCTGCGCCTCGCATCTTCTGTGGAGAGAACGACGCTGCCGCTAGAAGAAGATGGACGCCAGGCAGCAGCCCATTTTGCCTCGGCCGACCAATCACGTGCCTTGGTTTGTCCCTTTGGGTACTTGATGTAGTCGCTGCGCCAGCTGCGGCTGGATCCATCCGACAGGTCTGCTGTCAGCTGGAGACGATACTTTTTCGCGCTCTTCACTTGAGTTACAGCGGTCAGCGTGCCACCACGCCTAGTCAGGGCATCCCTGATGGCCGTCAGCGCCTCAAGGCGAAGCGTGAAGGTCATGGGGCGTGCAGAGCGTCCACCGCTAACTTCCTTGTTTGTCAGCCGTTGGGGCTGCTGTGGACAATTTTTTGAAAAAATTGGTGTAGTGTTTTTTTTTCGGGGCTTCCCCAAAAAGGTTCGGAAATGGAACCAACGCCATAAAATAGAACGGAAAGAGAGCTTCAATTGTCTGCAACTTTTTTCGGTCGCAACCCCGTAGTTGTCGAGATATGGAGGATTTGGTGGGGTGAAGTACCTTCGGTGGTGATGGTAATAGGCCCATAACTTTTGATCCAGAATATGCGACCCATTCACAGGTGGCCAGCGGGCAAAGGAGTTAAAATGCAATCTGTTGTCACATGTTTTTCTCCGCAAGTAGAGACACAGCAGGCATCCCATTCTTCGATATCCAGACCACAGGCTATGGAACAGACCACGGCCAACTTGACCACCTCACGGACTAACTCGGCCTCCTCACGCGCAGTGCATACGTTGAACATCGCCAAGGACGGGCAGATCTCCACTATTCAAAGCGATATTCAAATGATACCCCAACCGGCAGCGTACCACATCCTGAAAAGGTGGGTGACTCATTTCACTCTGCACGGCCGCTTGCCGCCGTCTTGTCACGCTGCTCAGCAAGAACAGGCCACAGAATCGCCGAGGAAAACGTGACGCAAACGCCCGTACATCATCAGGGGTAGGTCACGCCCAGCACCTCAACTCCGCCCCTTCCCCCCCCTGGCGCCGCCTCTCCTCCTCCCCCCTTGGCTTCTCCCACCCCCCCCTCTCGGAGCATACCCCCCCCCGGCGCCCCCTGGCCTTCCCCCGCCCCCGCCAGCGGAATGCCCATATCCCCTCCCCCGCCCCCCTCCACCGCTTCTTGGGGTCCACTGGTTGTTGCCGGCGCCGGCAGCCACCGACGGTTCGTGGAGAAGCGCGTTGGCCACGGCGATGGTATCCGCG